TCATAACTCTACCCCGAGCTACATCACCAATCTTGTCTCCAATTATCACCCAAACTGTCCTCTCCCCTTCTCTCATGATCTCCTGCTCTCAATACTCCTTGTCTCCTCCTCCCATGCTCATCTCCAGGACTTCGCCAGAGCCTCTCTGTGAGGGCTCTGTCCTCGGCAGAGGTGTTAGGAGACCTGGCACCCCTGCCAGTACCTTGCATGGCCGCAGAAGTTCACATAGGCTCAAATTTGGCGTCAAACGGACTTTATAAGGAAGCCCTGCACTACTCTCAGGTGCTAGTTGATCTCCGGCTTCCCAGTACCTTGTTCGTGTGCTATTGTGATCTGTGATTTCCTGATACCGACTCGGCTTGGCTAACGGATATTCCCTCTTGCTCCTCTGTGTATGACCTCGGCTATCCCATCTGCTCTGATCTCCACCTGGTACCTGACCTTGGCTTTGAACTGGCTATCCTGTGATTCTCTGTCTCCCAGAAGGCTTTCACCTGTCTGCAGATCCCATCTTAGTTCATCAGCTGTGCTCCTGGGTGGACCACCAATGAGCACTCCTACAGGCGACCTGTGCTACTTTGGGCCTGACTCCTGCCGTCCCACTCTCAAGGGAGTCTGGAACTTAGCCACAAGGGAAGCCCTCTCTCCATTGGCCTCTAACACCAGGTGCGTGATACTATCCCATCCTTTGGAACTCTCTACTTTAAACTGTCTGGCTATCCCCTACTCTGGCTGCTTTTAGGCCATCCTTGAAAACTCATCTCTTCGGGTAAGCCTATCAACTCCCCTTGAAAGCTCAACTCCTTGAAAGCTCATCTCTTCGGGTAAGCCTATCAACTCCCCTATCAACTGAACTTTTATCTCTTCCATCAGCTCATCCCCCACAGTTATAAAATTTTGTGCTACTTGCACTACCCTATTAGATTGTAAGCTCTCATGAGCATGACCTTCCTAATCCTCTTGCTTTTTTGTTGTATTGTAACTGTACTGTCTCCATTTATATTGTAAAGCGCTGCGCAAACTGTTGGCGCTATATAAACCCTGTATAATAATAATAATAGTAATAACAAATAATATTCAGAAGACAAGGTGCTCACTCAACAGTCCCACACAATAGAGCCTTGATACCACTGGAAGTTGGGTACGACAGCCCAAAAAAAGTTGGCTATACTTGAACACAGTCTCTGTACTTGAGCAGACACTTAGACAGGGCTTACGTTACCGGAATAGCATCTGAGCGAAGTGGCTGGATGATAATCAGAACAACGGTGCAGGCACATTTGGTAGACTGGTAGAAAGATCCTTGTTCCATCTTTCTGGAGTCCCAAGATAGCGGAGCCAGAAGTGGAATCACTGCTCTGTTCCTCCTAGACAGGAACCTCTCCCTAGCACTAATGACACTGTCCCTACCTGGTGGGAATCCTGTCCCTACTCTAACCACTTCGCCTGCCAACTGCAGAGGGACAATTGCCTACACTTAAGATAGTTGAGAAGGTCAGCCAGGGCAGCAGCTCCCCTGATGACATTTATGGAGGCTTCAGAGGAGCAAAGTTCCTCTCAACCTCCATTCCCTCTGCATAGTGGCCACTAGACATGTGCGTTTTGTTTTGTTACGATTCATTTTTCAGACGAAAATGTGATTTTCGGGGATTTGGATATATACGAATCTCTGAATGAACATAGTATTGAATGAATGTCAATGAATCCGAAAAAAAATTAGAACAAAATGAATAAATTGTAACTGTACTGTCTCCCTTTATATTATAAAGCGCTGCGCAAACTGTTTGGTGCTATATTAATCCTGTATGATGATAGTAATAACAAATAATATGCAGAAGACAAGTCAATATTGTCCAATCATGCCATGCCATTTCTCTTGGTGGGTTGGACTAGCGTTTAAAAAAATATCAAATCCTTCTGATCCAAATTTGTCTAATTTTATAATATATCGAATAGATAGCAAACTTTTGGAAAAACTGCTAAATTTTTCGAACCTCATAAACTTTAAGGTCTCCGATCAAGGTCCTGTAAGGCCATCCAGTGATTCCTGCAATGGGTGCTAGCTGGGCAGGAGTCTGTCTAACTCCTCACTGTGGATCTGCACAGATAAAGATCCCAAACACCACACACCTAGCAAAGCCATTAGTAAACAGGTGAAAGTAGCCTCAGCTAGCTTCATCCAAAGCCAATCACCAACGCGTTTTTACCCCACCCATGAGGTTTAATCATAGAGGAATGCATATGTTTTATTCAGATGATGCCACATGATGCGGTAGTAGTTCGAGCCCAAGGGAAAATCAATTCAATTTTCAAATTTGTTTGTTAATTTTGGATTTTGGATAATGAATGGATCCACATTTTGTTCCCTTTGTTGATTCGTATGCACATGACACAAGTCAATATTGTGCAATCATGCCATGCCATTTCTCTTGGTGGATTGAACTAGCGTTTAAAAAAATATCAAATTCTTCTGATCCAAATTTGTCCAGTTTTATAATACATCGAATAGATAACAAACTTCCGGAAAAACTGCAAAATTTTTGGAATCCACCTGGACCAACGAAAATAGGAAATGAATGCTGAAAATTAAATGGTTCAATGTAACTGTCAGGGCTCCCGGTAAGACCAGAGATGTGTGAACTGACACAGGGAAACGCAGGCTCAAGTATGGTGTAACAATATAATTTATTAAAGGTATACACAAATATAAATGCACAATATAACAAAACCAAACCTCCAACTGATAACGGAATGTACACGGACAAGAGCAGTCAGGGCTGGTGAGGTGGAGTGGTCAGGCAGGCCGGGTCAGGAACAAGACACAAAGGAGCAGGCAGAGCGTAGTCAGACAGGCCAGGTCAGGAACAATCAGGCAGACAAGGTACCAAAGGAGCAGGCTGGAGAGTGGTCAGGAATAGCCGGGGTCAGGACAGGCGGAGTTCATTCAGAGTCAGGATCAAAGCAGAATCAGGAATCAGGCAGGAAGCAGACAGGATGCAGGTACAGGGGCTCATGGGAAACATACACCAACGCACTGACTGCAGGTCTGGCCATTCCTTAAATACACCTCCTGCAATCAGCCTCAGGTGATGGCTGACTGCAGGAGTGAGGTTCTGGTTGCTGAGAGCACCCGCTGGCCAGCCCTGGTACTGCAGCCCACACGGCAGATGAGTCCCACCACCATTGGCGAGTCCATTCCTGACAGTAACAAATATGACAAAATTAAATTGTTCAGTGAATGAATGCATTGGAAACAAGTATTTCCAGCATGCACATGTCTAATGGCCACCTGACCCGGGCAACCAACAGTGGGGAGGATAAACATCACTTGTCTACATGCATATCCCACCCTGTTGCTGAGCGAACTGTTGGTGCTATATAAATACTGTATAATAATAATAATAATATCCCAGGAAGCTGGTCCAAAGGGTGAATGAACAAACAAAAAATAGCCATCATTCTAGACTGCCGGGGGGGATGTTAATTAGGGCAAAGTCTAATATTGAGTGAGAGTCCACTTTAAAGCGGAGCTCCAGTCCCCATAATCATCTTTTTTTTAATTCCCTTGTGATTGTTATTATTTTTACTATAAATTTAAATTCGAATATTGTTAGAACAATATTCGTGCTGGTTAGCTTAAAATCTTTAAAAATGTACCTGATCTCAGACGCAGGCAGGTGGCCATTTAGGATGTGGACATCTGAAGCCCACTTGTGCCTTTTTCCGGGATGCGGTGCGGCTGACTTCCCAGCATGCACCGCCTGATCTCGAGCCTACGCAGTAATGACACTGCGTGGTGCATTTTGTTTAGTGCAGGTTGCTGTAGCAATGGCGGCAGCAGAAGTACCCACACTGTTGCTATGGTAACCTGTCAAACACATTACATTATTAGGCTTCCCAAAAACTCCTGGGATAGATGACGCCAATATCCCAGGAGTCATTGGGAATCGCCTAATGATGTCATCTCCTAGGTGGCCGGGACAGGAAGTGCCGCCCGAAGAATTATAAAAAAGGTATTTAGAAACAAAAAAATAATAATTTCCATTTTGCACTGTACATTGGAGGGGCATTGGAAATATTGGAAGTTTAACCACCTCCCATACGGTGCAGGGTCGGGTGGCCATTTATAAACGGCCTCCCCACCCTCTGCTTGTGTGCGCTCCCTGGGAGCCAGAGAGAAGGAGAAATTATTGCTTTTACAGCCTTTATGGGTGTAAAAGTAACAGGGGCGGACTGACAACTCATGGGGCTTCTGGGCAATAGGGGATCATGGGGCCCCTGTGTCCTTGCCCAAACTCCAAAAAGCTTATGAAAAAGGTACCAGGGGCATCTCATGGGGCCCCCTACTGACCCCGGGCCCTCGGGCAGTGCCCGAGTTTCCAAATGGTCAGTCCGCCCCTGAAAAGCAATCAGTGTAAAAAAAAAAAAAATCTTCATCACCCCCCACAAGTAGTACAGTGTCACCATGGTGACACTATACTACTAGGATGACAGTAAATAAAAAAAAAAAACATATATAATAATATAAAAAAATAAAATAGTAAAAAAAAATGTTTAAAAATTATAATTTTTGGTTATAAACTAATTTTAATTCTAATTTTTTTTACTAAAAAAGATAAAAGAATAAATTTTGGCCAAGATTTATGATGAAATATTATTTATTTGCAAAATTTTAAAAGAAAAACATTTTCTTCAAAATTTTGGGACTTTTTCATTTACATAGCAAAAAAAAATAAAAATCCCCAGTGGTGAATAAATACAACCAAAATAATGTTTTATCTGTCTCAAAAACAATTGAGCACTGTCAGTGATACTTTTTTTATTTGCACTAACAAACAATTTTGAGGACAAGCTTTCGGGGAGTGCCCCCTTCTTCAAGTTCCAAGCAGTACTAAATGCTAAAAAATTCATATGGGTGCAGTGTTGCATGACCGATCAATTGTCATTCAAAGTTTGATAGCGCTGAAAGCTGAAAATTGGCCTGGACTGGAAGGGGGTGAAAGTGTCCGGACTGGAAGGGGGTGAAAGTGTCCGGACTGGAAGGGGGGAAAGTGTCCGGACTGGAAGGGGGTGAAAGTGTCCGGACTGGAAAGGGTGAAAGTGTCCGGACTGGAAGGGGTGAAAGTGTCCGGACAGGAAGGGGGTAAAAGTGTCCGGACAGGAAGGGGGTAAAAGTGTCCGGACTGGAAGGGGGTAAAAGTGTCCGGACTGGAAGGGGGTAAAAGTGTCCGGACTGGAAGGGGGTAAAAGTGCCCGGACAGGAAGGGGGTGAAAGTGCCCGGACCGGAAGGGGGTAAAAAAAGTGTCCGGACTGGAAGGGGGTAAAAGTGTCCGGACTGGAAGGGGGTAAAAGTGTCCAGACTGGAAGGGGGTAAAAGTGTCCGGACTGGAAGGGGGGGAAAGTGTCCGGACTGGAAGGGGGTAAAAGTGTCCGGACAGGAAGGGGGTAAAAGTGTCCGGACTGGAAGGGGGTGAAAGTGTCCGGACTGGAAGGGGGTGAAAGTGTCCAGACAGGAAGGGGGTAAAAGTGTCCGGACTGGAAGGGGGTGAAAGTGTCCGGACTGGAAGGGGGTGAAAGTGTCCGGACAGGAAGGGGGTAAAAGTGTCCGGACAGGAAGGGGGGTAAAAGTGTCTGGACTGGAAGGGGGTGAAAGTGTCCGGATCAGGAAGGGGGTGAAGTGAAAGTGTCTGGACTGGAAGGGGGTGAAAGTGTCCGGACTGGAAGGGGGGAAAGTGTCCGGACTGGAAGGGGGGAAAGTGTCCGGACTGGAAGGGGGTGAAAGTGTCCGGACTGGAAGGGGGGGAAAGTGTCCGGACTGGAAGGGGGGGGAAAAAGTGTCCAGACTGGAAGGGGGTAAAAGTGTCCGGACTGGAAGGGGGTAAAAGTGTCTGGACAGGAAGGGGGTAAAAGTGTCCGGACTGGAAGGGGGTAAAAGTGTCCGGACTGGGAGGGGGGAAAGTGTCTGGACAGGAAGGGGGTAAAAGTGTCTGGACTGGAAGGGGGTAAAAGTGTCTGAACTTGAAGTGGTTAAAAAGAGACTGGAACTCCACTCTAAATACTTTTTTACCGTGTATAGAACTTTTGGGACAAACCTCCAGCTAGCCTTCGCAATAAATAGTTGCACTCAGAACCCACTGGAATCACATTATTGGAGTCCATTACCTATAGCTGAGCATAAATAAAGGTAAGTTCGTTAAGTAAAACTTCTTATTGTCTGCCATTAAACAAAAATGCACAAACACGAGCACTGCAGCCCAGTAGATGAAAATATCTGGAACTGAATGGAAGAGTTAATCCTGTTCTAATCCCTTTTCAATAAGTGACATTTAAAGACATGTTTTTTCCTGTGACCTGAATAGGGAGTACAGTAGTAGGAGCTGGTTAATTAGAAAACACATTTGTTTGATGAAAAAATAATCCAGGGTTTAATAGACTGGCAGCCAGCAGTCGTCTTGTACACATCACCAACTGTCCAACAGCTGACGCTCCTGGTCTTTGCCATGCACTTGGCATGCTGGGCACTTAAGCGTTGTGGTTTGCATTGGCACATCCTCTTCACGCAGTGGTGGCAGAGCTTGCCCAATCTCTCGATGGAGGCTAGCAAGAAAATACACAGTAACCAATGGCATCCAAAAAAAGCCATCTGGACACTCAACGATAAACAGGCCTTCCAAAGGTCAGCTGTGTTTTGGAAACACTGACTAAAATTGTCTCTTTGTCATTTTTAAGATGAAGATTTTGGAGCGCGTGAGAATATTTTTTTGATTTCCTCTTTTATCCTAAATGAATAACTCTTCAGTTAATAGGAATTTCAGAAAAATGCCCGTGCAAGGTGGACACTTTTAAAAACGTCAAGTAATGTAAGATATAGTGAGCGCTCTTAAGTAGGCAGCAGCTGAAACACTTAAGGTAACCACAGTGACCTCTGTAATAACAAAGAACAAATAAAGTGCAGCACTCAATGTATAGATGAAGTAAAAAAAAAATCTTGTGAAGTAAGTTATTCAATAGAGTCCAGCAGTTTGTACTGATCAAAGTTCTTATGAAGTAATTATCCCAACGGAACTGAGACTAGAATAACAGAAGTGCGCACTCACCAGAAGCGCATTGATAATGCGCATGTAGGAATATTAATCCTGGATGGTATTCTGTAGTCAACAGGTAGTGGTCATCCTTCTGAGGTCTGGTCACTCAGCCTGGATTAGGTATGGGATATTCCTAGGTCAGAGGTCCCCTTTAATGTAAGATATAGTGAGCGCTCTTAAGTAGGCAGCAGCTGAAACACGTAAGGTAACCACAATGACCTCTGTAATAACAAAGAACAAATAAAGTGCAGCGCTCAATGTATAGATGAAGTAGAAAAAAAATCTTGTGAAGTAAGTTATTCAATAGAGTCCAGCAGTTTGTACTGATCAAAGTTCTTATGAAGTAATTATCCCAACGGAACTGAGACTAGAATAACAGAAGTGCGCACTCACCGGAAGCGCATGGATAATGCGCATGTAGGAATATTAATCCTGGATGGTATTCTGTAGTCAACAGGTGGTGGGCATCCTTCTGAGGTCTGGTCACTCAGCCTGGATTAGGTATGGGATATTCCTAGGTCCAGAGGTCCCCTTTAAGGGTGGATGAGCGCTCAATATGCATACAGGGATCCCTCCTCTGGATACTGGATGGTATAAGATTCTGTCCTGAAATAAATAAAAAAACAATCTATGAGGACCCCCTTCGTGCTGCAGGTCCCTCCCCTCAGCCATCACCTCATATCACCCAAATGTGATATTTCAGTTATAGGTGGAATCTAGTACACTTAATAAGGCATTGGTTTCTTAATGCCCAACTCCACCTTTTGTATCTTGCCCATTGAAAAAATTCAGTTTCTCAGCAGGTGCAGCCTGTTTTCTCTACTGTAGGTAGTGCTAAACCCTAGTGGTCAGGGGCTGACTGACCATTTGGAAACTCGGGCACTGCCCGAGGGCCTGGAGTCAGTAGGGGGCCCCATGAGATGCCCCTGGTACCTTTTTCATAGGTTTTTTTGAGTTTGGGCAAGGACACAGGGGCCCCATGATCCCCTATTGCCTGGGGGCCCCATGAGCTGTCAATCCGCCCCTGCTAGTGGTATCACTGTCTGGAGAGGGAAACATGTTTTCATGGTTAGCAGCATTCCGGTTGGCTATGCTGCATCTTTATGACCCCTGGTCACCATTTTGGGTCAACAGGGCTTTTATTAATCTGTGCTCCCAGGTTGCGGCATGCTCAGGAGCGGACTGACAACTCATGGGGCCCCCGGGCAATAGGGGATCATGGGGCCCCTGTGTCCTTGCCCAAACTCAAAAAAGCCTATGAAAAAAGTACCAGGGGCATCTCATGGGGCCCCCTACTGACCCTGGGCCCTTGGGCAGTGCCCGAGTTTCCAAATGGTCAGTCCACCCCTGGGCACGCTTTTGCAAAGTTGATAGTGTTGGGAGAGACCTCATCTGACAGGGACAGGGACAGGAAAAGATTTCTGATTAGTAGGTGCAGGCTATAGATTCGCTTTCCTGCAAGGAAGACTTCCCATTTGGGAACGGACCAGCCAGGTCGCACTTCACTGCCTGAAACAGACATTGGCTCTTCCCTCTGCATCTCTGCTTTTGAACTGATCTGTGAGTGTTTTCCCTAAGAGGCACCCTCCCGCTGGAGTGTTTTTTGTTTGGCATTGTTTTCAATAGGAATTCCATGTTTTATTACATAGGTAAATAGTTACATAGTTAGTCTGGCTGAAAAAAGACAAAAGTCCACCCAGTTCAACCAGAAAAAAAAAAAGTTATCCTATACCCACAGTTGATCCAGAGGAAGGCAAAAATACCCAGCAAAGCATGATCCAATTTGCTCCTGCAGGGAAAAACATTCCTTCCTGATCCCCCGAGAGACAATCGGACATTCCCTGGATCAACTTTACCTATAAATGTTAGTATCCAGTTATATTCCAGTTATGTATCTAAGAAACAGTGGCGGACTGACAACTCATGGGGCCCCCGGGCAATAGGGGATCATAGGGCCCCTGTGTCCTTGCCCAAACTCAAAAAAGCCTATGAAAAAGGTACCAGGGGCATCTCATGGGGCCCCCTACTGACCCCTGGCCCTCGGGCAATGCCCGAGTTTCCAAATGGTCAGCCTGCCCCTGCTAAGAAACAATCCAGGCCTTTTTTGAAGCAATCCACTGAGCTGGCCAGAACCAATTACAACTGTGTATTTACTGCCGCAGCACTTTCTCCCTACATAATGCAGACCTTTAAGCAACAATTCTCAAGTAGGGTTATGTGGAACCCTAGGGCTCCTTCAGAGGTTGCTAGGGGTTCCTTAAGCTGTGGCTGATTGACTTCCCACCCTATGATGCCTGGCTAGAACAATGCCCCTTGCCAGAGCCAACATCATGACACCAGTGATATTTTTTAATTGTTTGTAAGGGTGGCATTCTGACCACAACTATAAGGGGGCTGCCAGGAACAGCTGCAGGGCTAATTCTTGTACAAATAAGTGTGCACTTATTTATGGACATACCAGGGGCGGACTGACAACTCATGGGGCCCCCAGGCAATAGGGGATCATGGGGCCCCTGTGTCCTTGCCCAAACTCAAAAAAGCCTATGAAAAAGGTACCAGGGGCATCTCATGGGGCCCCCTACTGACCCCCCGGGCCCTTGGGCAGTGCCCAAGTTTCCAAATGGTCAGTCCGCCCCTGGGACATACAGTATGTCTTAGATGGGTGATCTTGCAGATATGGCTCAGGCAGGATTTGTGCACAGAGCCACTATTGTCATATTGGACTCCTTATATAGGTACCTGACATGTGCATTCTTCTCACTGATTATCAATGTGTAGGCAGGTGCAGTCTGTTTTCTCCACTGCAGGTGGCACTGGACCATTGAGGAGAGGGAGTGGAGAGAAATTGGGTTTCTCTATGACCTCCTCGGTCACCTAGGGCAGTGATCTGGTTGGATGCTCTTGTCCTATGTGATCCTGCTGGCCATCTTGGGTCAGGCTTAGTCTATTTAGAACTCTGATCTTGGGTTTTGATGCACTTTATGTGAGTGGCTAGTTTAGGGACTGGTCACCTGCCAGAGACAGAATTAGTGGCAGGGAGAGGTTCTGGTGGAGTAGGAAAAAATGTAGGGACTATGTCTACCTTCTCAGGAGGCTCCACATTGGGTTAGACTGGCCAGGATGCACTCCAATCCTTGTGATAGTCTCTGTCTGCAGCTTGAAACCTACATTCTCCTATCTCTGCACTGAGCTGTTGCAAGTGCCCCTGTAGGGTAAGTCTCCCCGCTGGGCCGGGTTGTACTGTTTGACTAGTTCTGCAATACATCATTTTTATAACAGAAAAAAAAAAAAAAATCCCAACACACTTAACAGCTAGCCTGAAAACAGACCACATTGACCCTGTCTAACAATTCATGTCAAAGACAGAAGGTTTTTTTTTGCACACATTAGCAAATTTATATGAAATCTGCAATGCCTATGCCAATGTTCCTCTGTGTTCTGTGGGTCCCAACTTTATAGTTCTGAAAGTCTCCAAGTAGGAGCACTTATAGCAGTAGATTA